CCAAATATCACCAACATTTGGCCAATCAACTGGAGCATATGGCAAACCTTTGCCCGACGCTCCAGGTGGAACTGGACTAGTAAGAACTTCTGATTTTCTTTTCAAGGGTCTGCAGTCATGACCTGCCTTGGAAACATCAGTCTTCATGATTCCTCACCTTGCAAAAGTCAAGCTCAATGGAATTCAATGTCTCTGGTGCACAATTAATAACGGGATAGAATTCAGAAAAGTAAGCTGGTACAAAAACGACTAGATCTTATTCCACATCTATTCTAGCTAATAAAAGTTCAACAAGTCTCCTTTTGGCTGCATTTTCGATTTTCAAGCTCTTGCATTAGAATATGTCATGTTCCGTAGCACAATGTTTTTTCCAATGGATTCATGAGCTCAACTATGAGTCAGTCATGTTAATTGATTGATAGTTATGACGTGTAAATCAAATATTTTACGGGAAGAAACACGTGAATTTAATGCCAAATATCCACATTTCTTGCATAAGTTTCAAATTCTAACTGAATTAAAAAATTTAGCTAACAAGCCTACTGCAGAGCATAACCGAAAAGCTAAACATTCTGTCCTAAACCAAGTGAAACTTATACGCTATTCTGTACCATACATCCCACCACTCATAATACTCAAATGGACAAAGATTCTGATAAGCATGCAACTGCCTACATGTATTAGGAGCCACTCCCAACAGATGGAATACAAAGATTATACTGATCACTAAGTGATACTTGCACGCCTTTGTACAAAGTAGAGTCCCTACACCAATTATCAAGAAACATGTTTTTGTCCTATGATGGTGCAAAAACTAAACACTTGAGTCAAAGTGGACGCAAAAAGGGGCTTGTTACAACATATTTGCAGAATGAGAAGTGAATACTCCAGATCCGATCATCTTTGGTTGCTGAAGTAGCAAACCAAATGGATCGACTAAAGCATGAAAAGAAAACCCCAAAAAAAAAAAGTAACTAGAAAAGAAGCTAAAACAGAGATGAGAATGTTGACTCTCGCACTAGATGAAAAATATTACCCCAAATACAACTGATTTTTTCATTAACAACATGCATCTATCTATAATTTCTTGTAAAACAATCCCACCACTCAAAAGAAACGGTTTGATTATGTCTCTCATTCCCCACCCCAAGCAATCCCCCAAACCGTATGTATATCCACATATAAAACCAAAATAAGGGACGTTGTTAAAATGCAGGAATTCTAACAGAAAATCAAGAAAATTGCATTCAATTTAAGAACATTTGCATGTCACGCTGATCAAGCCAAGAAATGTGAACAAAGATCAAAATAATACTTACGGCAGAACACCTACAAGTGAGTGTCTGATCAGAGAGATAGTTGACAAAGATAGGAGGAAATTGGTAAATGGCTCAGCTCCAAATGTTAAGGGGTCTTTGAAAGCATCTTCTGATGGTTACTACTCCCTCCGTCCCAAAATTTGGGACGTTTTTCGGGAATAGCACTTTTATGCACAGTAAAATGTGGACTGCATTTTTCATATTCTTCCAGTTTTACCCCTTATCTATCACACGGAAATAGCCGGCCAAAAGCAAAAGGTCACAGAATGGTGAGAGTGTGCATGTGTTGTGGTGGGCCATATGTAATTGTTTATTATTAGTTGATGGAATCTTGTCATTATTACTAAAGGTATAAAAGGAAAGTAGTAGTGAAAGTTGTTTGACTTTTGTCATGAGACTCTTATTTTGGGACAATAAAAAAGTGAAAACATGACATTAACAATGGGACGGAGGGAGTACTTACTAGATTGCAACTTAAGAGGCCTTCAGCCTTTAGGCTCAGCTATGCTCTGTTATTGCATGTGAGTGTTTAAGTGGCGTTGAACGGTGATCTTCTTCAGACTGGCTTTCTCTATGCTCGTGTCCAGATTATTGGAAGCATTCGGTGACAACTGGTAGGAAATAAAATGACTATTTCACCCCTCCTAGTTTTCAACCTTTGTTTGGGAATAGGGTGAATCAAAACTGTTGATACGTCCGTTTTAGATTGTAAAAAAAAAAAAAAGGCTAATACTTGGGTAGACTTTGGTCTACGGCCATCCTCGACCATGTCATCTCTACGAAGTAGATGCTAAAAATATCAGGAACTCTTCACGTGATTCACGGGACCAAAACTGATTCACGGGACGCTAAACTGTCTGGGAACATAGCTTTTTTTTGTCCCGTTATCTGCTAGGTACCAGTTTTTTTTTTTTTTTTGCAGCTTTTTTGGTTCACGGGATGCTCAACCAGATGGCAAAAGAATCAGGTATAAGTCAGTAAGTAACGATGCTTGTTCTGGTCTTGGAAGTCAGAATTTACCTATAGTACTAATAGTGAAAGAACATAAGAAGGACCTGGCTTAGGAAAATGAGGAATTACTCTAATGGCATCGGATATGCCCTGCAACCTTGGGTCACCCCTCAAACCATTCTCTTCTGCAAACATTTTATTGAATCCCTTTTTTTTTTTATTCTTTCTCTTTGTCAACTAATCAATCTGTCTCTTAAAAAGTGAGCGAGTGAAAAGGGAAGAGGAAGGAGTGTTGCAAGGAAATGGAAGGAGCTGAAGTAGTAATTGCAGCAGTAATGTCTTTGTTGGCCAAACCAGCACTGACAATCCCAACTGCTGAGAAGGGTCATTATTTATACGCTCAATTTTTTAAGTAATTTACTTTTCTCTTTTATCCGGCAGTGCCTAATCACATGCTTCGATGATAACCTTGACCAGGGAGTACTAAACTGTACAAGCCTACCAGGTTTCGTGCTTATCAGCTGCGCTAGATAGATAACGCCTTTAGAATACTTATATCTAATCCGCAAAAACACATTTTAGATTAAGACCCCGAGTCATTACCAGTCAGCAATGTCGATATTAACCAACACTAATCAGAATTTCGCTTAGCCCTAAGCAGCTTTGCTTTAATTTTTTACCTGTCTATATATCCTATCGGCTTCGGTTTTGTAATCCTCAGCCCCAAGTCCAAAGTAGGTACTCGGTCCATTGGTCACTTACACGTAGTGTGACCAGGCAGATATATACATATACATGTATATATATTTCCTCTTCAAAGTTGGTTTTTGGATTTAATGGGGTTCAAGAGTGGTAACAAAATGAGAGCAGGCATAGTCGTACTTGAACATAATCGATTATCAACAAACAGTGATGAAGTTCTTAATGCTGACTTATGAAAGATACGAGAATCTACCTCAGTAGAGATTTAGGTGGAACTTTGTCATCTACAAAATATGCCATCATGGACATACAAATGGTTCAAGACCCACACCATTGTCCCCTCATTATTGGAGAACATGGCAAAGCAAGTGGACACACACACATATATACACCCACATTTGTCTTGGGCCTTCATTTGGTTTTGAATCTTCACAGTCTGGCTATAGAATATCATCAAATGTCACCATGAATATCATCAAACTTTCATTTTTCTTTTTTTGCCCAAAATCCAAATCCAAGTTTAGGTCGGGCATTATCTAGGAATTAATTAGGATTGGATACGATCTAGTCATGAAAGAAAACATTTTTTTTTTACTATAGAAAAATGTTAATGGGACTCTCCCCATTTGTCAATAAATTGTGCGTGTGATTGGATAGGCATTATTTACAATTTGTTTGTATTATAAATATATTTTTTAATACATTCTTCTATCTTCTAAATCGTTTTTTCATTTTTTTCACATATATTATATTACAAAAAAAGTGTTACAGCAATTATTTCAAGTAATCTATCGTCCAAACGCACCTGATCGCTTACAAGCACTTCTTATTGTTTTTAAGTTGTAATTAAAACGAAAAGAAAAAGGAACGTGAATAAAAAAAAAGTCAAGGGCATTGCGATTAACAAACAAACATGAGAATGTGATTAAACATTTTCCCCATCGAGTAGGACTAAGAAAATGAAAATGGGAAGGGCAAGGGCAGCAACGTGATGTCACAAGTTACGGCTCTAGGATTGACAGAGGATCCAGTCGCAGCAGGCGATGAGGATTTTGTTTGATGGTCCCGGCTCTCGTAATCGGACAGCGTGGCAACGTCTCATCATATAAAAATAAACATGATCCCTTTCCAAAGATTTGCCGATAGACCCACCGAGTGAATGGTCAAAGATCTCGGGTCAGTTTTTAGATCGTTGCTCCTGATTGCGTGAAGGAAATTTCTTCAGCCAAGTTGAAAGTCGAGGCCTGAGGGACTACCAAAGTATGTATGTACGTGCATCATCTACCTCCATATAGACTAAGGGCGGACGTCCGGTGTCCACATCGGACGTGGTCGTCCTCCGCGTGGCGACATAGAATTGGCTGGATGATGACATGGCGCGCGGTGATTGGTGGCACGTTTGGTTCCCTTGAACATGTCCTGCACGTTACCTTCTTTGCTCTTTTTTCATTCTTTCGTGCATTGATCTTCAGACTCTTCACTGGAAAGCTCCACCAACCCCAACCACTCCAGACGTCTTCTCCCCTTTGTTTATCCTTTTTTTCCTTTCTTAATCAATCAATCATCTATGCCTTTTGCTAGAAGCTATGGACTTGAGATGACCACTCTTTTCCTGTTCTGAGAAACTCAGACTTTTTGCAAATATAAGCTAATCCTGGAGCGAACTGCAAAAGCCGGCAACTTTTGCAGCAGCCCCAGGCCCTATATCTACCCAAACCCCAAACCCCCCCAAACCGATGTGGGATAGAAACCCCACAGGACCACTCAGTCCTATCCTTTCTTTAGTCTTTCTCTGTCATACATTACCCGTTGTGCATTCCCGAAGTTGTGGTCAATACGAGATATGTGAAGAGATTCCCATGAAATTCAACTTTCCTATTCTCTACTTTTCTTCTATCTCCCTTCTGTTATGGGAGAATAGATGGTGAAAAAATCGGTTGAGCAGAAAAAAATGTTTTGATTAAAATAAAATAAAAGAAAGAGGAAAAAGTGCTGATTCTTCTAATTCCTCCACTTTCTTATGCCCGAGTTCTTTTTTGCTTTTTGAAGAAACCGTGCTGTGGGTTTTTTTGCCCAATAGAGCGAAGGATCAATGATAAAGGAGCCATCTTTTTCAGGTTTAAGGTTATGTTTAAGAGTTTTTATCAATGATATTTTAAATCAATAGCCTATTGTTGTTTTTTTGCTTGAACTATTTTTACTAATCAGTAGCCTTCTTGATTTTCAAGTTTAGATGAGATTTTTTCAGTTTTTTGGGACAAAAACAGCTTGGATAAGTTTTCAGGAAAAAACGGCTTGGACTATTGTTATCTAAGCGCTTTTGCTTCGCTGTCTTTTTTTTTATGCTGTTTTAGACATTTATTTTTTAGAAGTTTGGCTTATAGTTTAGTGTAATTTCTGTGTCTTGTAGTTTTGTTATATCTCTACTTGCTTCAGTTTTGTTCTTGACATGTGCAGGTGCTGGCTAATATGAGGAGAGAATGTGGGCTGCATAATGTGACATGCAAAGTATGGAATGGTTTTTTATTTGATAGTAGTAGATTTTCACTCGCTAGCTTATATGACGCATCTTCTGTTCTTCACAGATAAATGATGCATTGCATACTTAGTTTCTATATTCAAGACCATAATCTGAAGCCACATTTGACTAGAGCCCAGTAAACTTATAATTGGTCATATTTATATGCATTGCAAGGTGCTGGGACTTACATGGGGTGTTTGGGATGAACAGATATTCACCCTGTGCCCAAATATTATCCTTGGAGCTAATGTCCTATATGAAACAAGTGATATGTTTGTCCCTATTTTTCTCTTCCCAATATGGTGACTTTTTTGGTTTTGTTTCACATATCACTTAACTGGAAAGATGTTTTTACCACGCATGCACTTTGAAGCATTTGATTATCTTTTTGCTACTGTGCCATTTCTGCTCCAGAATTCTCCCTCTTCGGTTTTTATAATAGCTTACTACAACAGAAGGTGATTATGGGTTTTCAATTCCTGATCTTTTCTTGGCTAAAGGACATTTGGTACCGCGCTTGGGTGTATCACAGGTTTATGTTAATTTTTTATTTCTCTTTTTACTGTAAACAGTGGGCATCACCTGATTGAGTTCTTGATGGTTAAATGGGGATTGAAGTGCATGAAGCTTCTAGATGCATTTTCATTCATGCCAGCTGACAAGGCATCTGGATTAAGTGGGAATATACAGTTGGTAGACATAATTTTGGATAATGACAAACTAAGTTAGCAAATGGTCGTGATGCTTATTGAGAAAAATGGTAAGATGCAATATATTTTTTCTCTTTGTTCTCTCTCTATCTCTCTCTCTCTCTTTTTTGCCTTCTTGAATGACTATTAAAATACATGGGTTGGGGATGACATTAACATGTTACACTATCTGTTCCCCCCTTGTTTTTTTTATTGCTTCACTTCTGGAATTAAACTAAGCTCGATGCTGAATTGAACTGTGGACCATAAACAATTGTTTTGGTTTTTGTAATTTTTTTTATGTCCTGTAACAAGACCACTGCAATCCTGTATGCACCAATAACTTGTTTGTAGCATCAAAATGATATGAGCTTATTATCTTCTATTCAGAAGTATGCAAAAAGGTTAACTTCCTAAAACTGGATTAAGTGCATTTGTACTGAGATCTGATCAATCAGTTTGGATGTCCATACCCAAGGAAATTTTGGACAATTTTACATTTCCATTTATGAGCAACACGTGGGCAAATAATGTATGTCAAGACCTCCAATTCTGCTTTCAAGTAAAATTAGTGGTTAAATTTTCATGAAGGCTTTTCATTTATCTCTTTCCCCCCCTACATCAAGTTTTGTATTGAACTCCAAAAATTCTGCATAATAGAGTATCCAAACAGGGCTACCATTTGCAGGAGAGGAAATAGACTGCTTTAACATTTAAATCTGTAAATAATGGTGATGTGGCACGAATTGATTGGTTGACAAATGTGCTTGTTGCACCTTACCCTTCCTCCGGGCACAGTTGTCGTCCCGTCTTTCTCCGGAATTTGGACTATTTTGTGATTATTGTGGTTGATTTTATAAGTGGCATTTTTCAGGCAAGCTGAGTTGGAGGCAGAAAGATTTAAGATTGCTGTTACAGCTGAAGCTCAGAGCATTTTTTATGCTCTGTCCAAAACGTAAGTTTTTATGTTTGTCATTTCTTTATTGCTGTTTCTTGATCTTCTATTACCGGTTTGACTTTCTCAATATGATTTTTCAGTATATTTTATGAATTTTTTCTTTTCTCTTGTATTGGTTGAAAATATTAGTTCTTTGCAGTCTTGACTTATTATTTCTATTTTGTGATAAATAAGTTCTGGTAATGCAAAAAGCAGATTTTTGCATGAACTAGATGGCATATTATTTCAAGAATTAACTGTGGTTATATAGCCCCAAGTGTCTATTGTCATAAAGAAATCTTTACTAATCAAAATAATTGTTTCCAGTAAAAGATCATAGATTTTGAGTAGATAGTATTGCTTCCATTTAAAGGTACTATCAGGTTTGAAATTCTTAGTTTCATAAAGTTCATTGGGCTCTTCGACTAGCTTAGCCTTGAGCATCAGATGCATCAAACAACTCCATTTCAGAAGTAGTGTTAGATGCATAATTGGAGAGCTAAACTGCTGAACAATCTTATTCCTGTGTTGAATCTCCTTTTTAATTCTTCAAGTGCCATTGTGCACTATATGAATGTTGTATGCAAAAAAAATTTATCCATCATGTCTAAATTCCTGAGAAGACTAACATATTCCTTTTTGCTACCTTCTTGCCAACACCACTAAGGGAGACGTCAGAAGATGGTTAAGGCCTTTTTTAGTGAATCTGAAAGAAAAGAGTCAAAAATATATACTGATACAATAGCTGTTACATGATTCTAGAAAATGCAGCATTTAAACTAAGATCATGTGTACGAAATATTATCAGTTTATTTTGCCATGGTTGATCATTATATTAGGGAACATAGCAACGTTACTGACAAAACAAACTAAGTTGTTCTTGCAATTCTTTAGCTATACTGTTTTGATTCCACTGCAGTTTTTCTTCGTGCTTATTTAGGAGCTTTTCTGGGGAGTATAAACAATCAAGTTTCCTGAATCAGAACTTCTGTATTATATCCTGATTCCTCGTCCTTTATTGGATAGGGTTTGCCACCAGCTTTGTTAAGCAGAATTGGATTTCTAAAGGAAGTGTTTTTTCTTCCAACTCTTAATATGGGAGACGAGAAAGTGATTGCTGGTATTGCTTGCTTGATGTCAGAAATTGGTCAGACAATAAGTGTTCGAAGTTCTCTATTCAGTAGGAGTTTTCCTTCTTCATGGCTTGCTTCTTATAGAATCTTGATTCCAACTTAGATTTCATAAAATCATATAGTGGTACTAATGCTCGTCTGATGTGGCCTAAACTGATTTTTTCTGATATGATGTATCCTAGGCACCATCTTTGATTTGGAAAGCAAGTCCTGAGGCAGTAATACTCATGGATGCTCTATTGATGTTAGATCTTGAACATTTGACAATGATGTGCTTAAGGAGATAACGTGTATCATAGCCAAAGGTGTGTGGATCATAATTTGATGCATTAGCCTTAAAATGCTAACTTAAGCTCTCTGCATTTCTCCTGCTCATCAACATTGTAACTTTTTTGGGAAATCAGAACTGTCTTAGTAATTAAGGATGAAACAACTAGATTGGCAAACAATTACATCATTGGAGTATGAATGTTGAAGATGTTTGACCATATGAGCCTATTTCAGTAGATTTAGGGTACTGTACATCTCCTTTGTGCCGTGCAAAGTGCATACTTATGTAATTCCACTGCAAAATGTCCCTTGTTTGATGTTAACTTATAATGTTCTGATTTCTTATCTATGCGTGCAATTGTGCCACTTTTCCACGTGAATATTAGGAAATTGCTGACTGAATCTTGCAGTTCTGGTAGAAATAGTTCTCTGTTTTCCAATCTTTCTTATCATTGCCTTTTCCCACAGTGTTAGTTCCCTGATTCCTGATGGCTCCGATGTGGCTAAAGTTGGGTTCACAGTTTACTTTATGAATTAATTATATCTCATGCAAATTCAGCCTTTTGTTCTCTTTACATGTCAGGTCAAGTCTTGCAGGTTGCATTCTTGGGCATGATTTGAGTGGTGGAGGAGATAAAAAGAATATACAAGTAGTATTTCTCCCTGCTCACTCAGCTTTACTTGATGCTCTTTTCTTGCGGGCACAAGTTTGCTTCATTTGTTTCCACTTTCGTTGGATGCAGATATTTGGTTTGTCCATTTTTGTGCAAGTCTTAGTTCTATTGGTTTATGCAAACATGCTTAAAGTATGTGCAGTGAAGGAATATATTGAAGAGAACATTGTACAAACATGCTTAGATCATTCAAAGTTGAAGAATAAGTTGGAATAATATATTAGTACCTGTTACACTTTAGCTGGAGAATAATCTTAGTGGGTAAAAGTAATTTATCTTTTTCCAGGGGTGGTAGTTGCTTACAAGATTCATGGTCACTGTGTATGCTTTTAAAAGCAAGTCTAGAGCCCTGTTCATCCTTGGCTAAGTTGTTAGATGATGGAAGGTTTATCCTATTAGTGAGGACATGGAAAAGTTGAAATATTAGTGCTTCTGCTGTAATTGTTACAGAATCTTTGCTATGTTGCAATGCATGTGTGACCTTTTCATCCGTTGTACGCTTCCCTGCAAATTGGAAAATAGGCCAGCAGTGGAGAAAGAGTCCATATGTCAGTTCGTTTTTGGTCATATTGCCATTTTGAGAAAATAGTGTATGTGGGAATAATTTTGTTTTCAAATACATGTATTGCAAGATTCTTTCCTTTTCCTCATTTTTTGTCTGGATTATGATTAATTTGGAGTCTTTTGGACAGGTGAATGATTCTATGTTTATTGATGATGGAGAAACTATTGATCTGCCTATGGCCTTGTTCAATTTCAGATGAATTTGGTGGAACTTTTCGTTGATATCTATCAGATTTTAGGCTCTGCTGCATTCAGGCAATCTCAAGCTACTGTGTTCAGCATTATAACTTCATACTTTTTGGATGCTTTTCTAGGAGTTGATCAGCTCAGCTTCAACAACCTAAGCATTCAAGACTAAAATTGAACTTGTTTGATTTTCATATTTAGAATGCCTGTAGAACTAGAACCTCTTTCGGATGACTATTCAATATTTATAACAAAACTGTATTGCTCAAATAATTTTACTCTGTTTAGTATTTCACTAATTTTCATTCTCACCAACATTACTAGCTAAACATTAACTGGGCATGTATTCCACCGCGCACAGCGCGGTGTCACCACCTAGTATAGTAAAAGCGCGAATGAGTTTTGGCAAAAGAGTGGTCGTCTGCTGATTTGTCAAGCTTTCATTGGTTAAAATGTGGTCGTCCTCCTCACGCCAAAATCATGTGCCCAGCTAGAGAAATATTGGAGGGTTTTCTTTCTTTCTGATGTATTCTGCCGAGGATGGGACTAGCGCATGGCTCGATACATTAGAAGGGTTCTCTTTCTCCCTTGTTCATCGCTGTTCTCCTCTCTCTCTCTCTCTCGTCTGATTGGGTTTTAGACTTTTAGCCCCTTGGTTTACCCCTCCGATTCTTCATTTACACGAACTCTCTTCTCTATATGTGTTTGTTCTTTATCCACTGGATCCAATCTAAGACGTGCAGTAGCAGAGAAAATCACATCAATTGAAGGTTGGTTAGTGGCTCAAGGATTACTACCATCAAATTCTTA